GTTCCCTGGATCCTCCTTTTTCTTTAGTATGGGCACTACAGACCAGTCAGCCTCACCTGGAAAAGTCATGCAGCATATATTCAAGGAATCCATTTCTAAGGACTTGGAGGAGAAGGTGACTAGGAACAGTCAGCATGGGTTCACCAAGGGCAAGTCATACCTGACTGACCTGATTGCCTTCTATGATGAGGTGACTGGTTTTGTGGTTGTGGCGTACCTTGATGCAGTGTACTCTTGATACAGTCTTCCACGGTATTCTCCCAGGCAAGCTAAGGAAATACGGGCTGAATGAATAGACTGTAAGGTGGGTAGAAAACTGGCTGGAGCATTGGGCTCAGAGCAGTAATCAATAGCTCAATGTCTAGTTGACAGCTGGTATCAAGTGGAGTGCCCCAGGGGTTGGCCCTGGGGCCAGTTTTGTTCAGTGTCTTCATCAGTAACCTGGAAGATGCCATCGAGTGCACCCTCAGCAAGTTTGCAGAGGATGACAAGCTGGGGGTTGTAGTAGACTCACTGGAGGGTAGGACTAGGATTTAGAGTGACCTAGGCAAACTGAAGGGTTGGGCCAAAAGGAATCTCATGATGTTCAACAAGGACAAGTGCAAAGTCCTGCACTTAAGACAGAACAATCGCATGAACCAGTACAGGCTGGGGGTGGACTGGTTGGGCAGCAGCTCTGCAGAAAAGGACCTGGGGGTTACAGTGGACAATAAGCTGACTAAGCCACCAGTGTGCTGTTGTTGCTAAGAAGGCTAACATACTGGGCTGCACTGGTTGGAGTATTGCCAGCAGATCAAGGGAAGTGATTCTTCCCCTCTATTCAGCACTGGCAAGGCCATATCTGGAATACTGTGTTCAGTTCTGGGCCCCCAAATATAGAAAGGATTTGGACAAATTGGAGAAAGTCCAGTGAAAGGCAACAAAAATGGTGAGGGGATGGGCAAATGATTTATGAGGAGAGGCTGAGGGAACTGGGCTTATTTAATGTAGAGAAGAGAAGACTGAGGGTGGATTTAATAGCAACCTTCAACGACCTGAAGTGACTTGCAGCAAGGGAAGTTTAGGTTAGATGGCAGGAGGAATCCTCACTAGGAAGGTAGTAGTAAAACACTAGAAGAGGTTACCCAGAGAGGTGGTGGAAGCTCCATCCTTGGAGGTTTTCAAAACCCAGCTAGACAAAGCCTTGGCTGGGTTGATCTAGTAGGGGCTGGTCCTGCTGTAGCAGGGGGTTGGCCTAGATCCGCATTTCTCAACCCATGGGCTGTGACCCAAAAAATGGGTTGCAAGAATATATAGAAGGGTTGCGAACAAACTTTGAAAACAGATCAACAAACTTTTTAAAAATGGAGAAAGGGAGAAAAACATGGGGAACCCATGGGTTTGGTTTTTTTTCTTTGCTGGCCATAGTGCCAACCTGTGAATGTGCTGTTTGCGGGGGGGAGAGACCTGCCCCACTCCACCCCACAGACTAGGGAACTGAGGTCTGGATGTGGGGGGCAGTGGGTCAGGAGTGAGGGGCATGGAGTCAGGGCTGGCCATCAATTTTTACACCTTCCAATCCTAATTTTCTATTAATATCAATTTATTGCGATTTTTTTTTTTTTTTTTTTTTTTTTTTTTTTTTGTGCCCCTCCACTTTAATTTTCATTGTGCTATAGAAACTTGTATCATCGTCATCTAACAATTGCAGAAGCTGCTGTGACAGGAAGGGAAGCTTGAGAGAGTTGCATGTTGGACAGCTGGGTTTTGGCATCTGGGAAAGACTTTTTGTGAGCCAAGCCCATTAGCTGAATGGCTCTGCATAAGAGATTGGAAGTGGTTTAACATCTGATGTTATTACTTTTTAAGAGTTAACACTCTGATTGCAATGAATAGAGTGGCTTTCACTGTGTTAGGGTGAAGGAATGAATGGGTCACAAGCTTGTGGTAGATGATGAGAATCCCTTCACAGCAGCTGACACTTCAGTTTTTGATCTGGGTGGGCTAAGGTAGCTTTTAACTTCAAGTTCCCAAGTGAAAAGCTTGCTCTGTGTCTGAAAGGGATTTCAATGCAATGGCTAGAAATAAGATAGGCGGAAGTAATGATACTCTGTCGTCATTCATGGTTACACTTAGTAAATGTTGTTTACCCAGATAATACTTGAGCAGTGTAGATCTCATGTACCACACCCTGCTTTCTTTTCTAGGTATCTCCTGGAACAGGATTTTCCAGGGATGCGGATTGGACCAGAGCCTACCACAGATTCCTTCATTGCCGTGATGCAGGGAGATGTGGAGGGGGTCATTCCTGGAAACGCACTAGTGGTTGATCCAAAAAAACCTTTCAGGAAACTGAATGCTTTTGGCAATGCATTTTTGAACAGGTCAGTATAATGTGCAGACACCCAGGTTGTGCTGCTTTGGTACATAATATGTTGAACAATCCAAATATAATTTATCATCATACAAGCTTTATTTATGTGCCCCAGGGGTGCAATGCTGCCCTAGTCTCACTGGGCAGCATTCCTACCTCATGTTCCCTTGACATGGGTAGGAGAGCCAGTTGGACTGACGTGGGCCAACCTGTCTAGTGGCATGGATTGTAATCGGTTAGAAGGTATGAAACTCTGTCTCGGGTCAGAAGGGACCTGAACAGATCAAGTCCCTACCCCCTGCCTTGGGTAGGAACGAGTACTGGGATCACAATACTCCAGCCAGACATCTATCCAACATCCTCTTGAAGACCCCCAAGGTAGGGGAGCCCATTCCAGAGCCTGGCAGCCCTAACCATAAAGTAATGCTTCCTGATATCAAGCCTGAACCTGCTCTCAATCAATTTGTAGCTGTTATTTCTTGTTATCCCAGGTGATGCCCAGGGGAACAGAGCCTCACCTATTTTCCACGGGCCTCCCTGGTGAGTTTATAGATAGCCACCAGATCCCTATTCAGTCTTCTCTTGTGGAGGCTGAATAGATCCTCAGGCCCTCTAGTCTGTCTTCGTAGGGCCTGGCCTGCTGCCCCCTGACCATGCAGGTGGTCTTCCTCTGGACCCTCTCAGGGATGTGGCTAACCTTCTCGAAGTGCAGTGCCCAGAACTGGACACAGTACTCCAACTGTGGCCTGACTAGCGCCGCATAGAGGGAAAGGATCGCCTCCCTGGACCTGCTTGCAATGCATCTGTAGATGCATGACAACGTTCAGTTAGCCTTTACTAAGTGTCAGATGTAACTCTGCCCTAAGCTGAACCATGTAGTAACTTGAGTGAAATGACATTGCATTCTGCTATTCTTGCCTTGTTTGTGTATATCTACATTCCTCTTCTAAGCACCCAGTTCAGTTCCTTGGGCCAAAGTCATCTCGGATACAACTCCTGTGGAAGCCAGTGGAAAAATGCTGGCAATGAAATAGACTCGGTCTGTTCCTATTTGCCTCTTGGATTACAGCATCATCTGATTTCCCTTTTGAAATGGGATTTGTCTGTCTGTAGCCTTGAACAAATGGCTTGTATACAAACTTACTGGGGCTTCAACTTCTGTCCTTCTAAAACAGTGGTTGTCAACCAGGTGTGTGCATACCCCCAGGGGTACTTAAAAAGGGTCCTAGGGTGTACTTAGACCTAACATGGCAGATTTTATTTATTTATTTATTTATTTATTTATTTTTAATGCTTTTGTGTGCACGGCTGCAGCACAGCACATCCCAGAACTGACTAGCCCTCTCGTAACCCCCTTCCAGTGCCACTGCTGCCTGCCCTGAGTGTAGCCCAGCCCCCTGCCAGGAACATGTGCAGATCTGGGGACATCCCCCCCACCCCCCCCTTTCCCAGGGTGCATGCAGTAGCAGGCGCTGCCCCACACCTTGCCCCTGTGCCCAGGGTAGGCTGCAGCTGGGGGCTGGGACCAAGTCTGGGGCAGGCGGCGGTGGCACTGGGGGCTGCAGCCACGCTAGAATTCACCGTAGCCCCCCTCCCAGTGCTGCCACTCACCCTGAGAGCAGCCCAGTGCCACCACCCACCCAGAGTACAGGCCCCAGCCTGCCCTGCCCTGCCCAACGCACAGATCTGGAGGCACATGTCTGCCCATGACCTCCCAAGATGCATGTAGGTGCAGGAGCCGCCCTCTGCACAGCTCAGTCCCGTGCCCTACCCCATACAGATCTGGGGCACTTGCTCTCCTAAGGTATGTGCACCATCAGGAGCTGCTTCCTCCTTTGTTGTGGCTTCAGTTCTTCTTCTCTTCCCCCCCCCCCCAAGAATAAAAAAAAGTGTATATGAGCTGCAATTTTGAGAGAAGGGGTACACTTGTTGAAAACCCCTGCTTTAAAAGGTTGCTCTGTGGGATAAACTCAGTGTCATGGCTAGAGATGGATCCCATGCTGTGACACTGAGGACCAGATTCCATTCCACCTATTGGGTATGTAATTGAACTGAGACATCCACATGTTTTCTGCTTGGCTAGAGTCTAGAAAAACAGCTGATACAAAAGGGTGGGTGGATGGGTGGGTCTTCTCTTCCTCCAGGCTGCCTTGTACTGTTCTGTCATCTTGCCCTTAACTGCTAATGCATCTGCTGCTGTTCTTATCTTTCAGGGTCTTGAACAGTATAGAATAGAGTTGGACTTGGGCATCTAAGCCTATGTGTAGGTGGAATAGAATCTGGCCACAAGATCTTGCCTTCTCAAGAAGTCAGAGCTCTTGATTTGGGTTCTCCTCTTCTTGACACAAGACAGCCAGATGCTGCTTTAGGTCTAGGCAGCCTTGTTGATGCACACTCTAGTCCAGGGGCCCAATAAGGTGCAGCCCCACACCCCCTAAATAAGTACCAATTGCAGTTCCCTCTGACTGCCCCACACCAGCGGTAGCCAAAAATGAGTTGTCCAGCTGCCCTCCTTTATGCTGTCTGTTTCCTAGTGACTAGCAAGGGAAACCAGGCCAGGAAGCCAGTCAAGCATCTGGACTTCAAGACCTAGAAACCCACAGTAGAACCACAAGTGGCAGCCCCAGAGGTGACTAACTGCATGCTGCAACATCTATATGGGCGTGCAGAGTGAATGGGGAGAAGTGTGCTGCAGTGAGCAGGAAGGAAGCTAGATGGATTCTTGTAAGCATATCTTTGCAAAGAGCTCCACTTGGCCTTAGGCTGACCCTGAAAGTAATATTTGATCACAGCATGGTCTCATTCAAATGGGATGATGTGGCTCCAGCTTTAGAGAAGTTTCTGGATGACTTTGCTATCCTGCAGGGTGCAGAACATCTGCATTCAGCCAATAACCAAGCCTGGTGACAATCCAGCCTCTCTAGGATGGGGGCGGCCTGCATTGTATAGCACAGTGGAACAAAAAAGCAGCTCTGAAGGTGCTACAGAGCCTTCCCTGCCACCTAGAAATAGCACAGAGCTGCCAGAAATGTGGGAGAGGGCAGCATGTGTGATGGATGAGGTGTTGGTAAGGGGGGATGGGACATGGAGGCAGTGTGAGAAAAGCAAAGGCACCTCACTTTGGCTGCTAAGTTTTAAGATGATCTTGACTTACTGTCTTGCCAAGTCATGGATCTTCGCACTGTAGCTAAGCTTTCCCTAGCTGATCTTATGTTAAAGCGCACGGTGCCCTGCCTTCATGATAAGGAGGGGATGCGGGGGCTGCAGAGGTAGAAGTGCATGTCCTGCCTTCTTGAGTGTAGGGAGCAGCCAAGCAGTCTGAATAACCCCTTCTTTGCTGGCAGCCCTGTGGCTGATGGGGAAAGGACAATCCTTTCTGAACTGCCTGATGTAGAGGCTTGAAAGGAGACCAGTACACACATCAGCACTGGAGGTGCTAGTGCACTAAGAAATACTGCTGCATACAGTTATGGCCACCTATTCTTTCAGCAAGAAGCTGCAAGCAAAATCATCAACTGGTAAAACTGAGCACCATCCTCTTAAGTGAATGGAGCAATGCTAGCTTACTGCAGTTGGTTTTTTTTTTTTTGGTTCTGTGACAAGGATGAGCCAGGATTCCTGAGAGCTTATACTCCAAGGGCTTAGTTTGAGGTTAGATGGTATTCATTAGATATTTGGGTGGCTCGGGTTACGCTTGCAGGACCTGCACAGGCAGGGAATCAGGGCGCTTATTACCAGGTCTAGAGGTTAACTGTTCTCTTCCTTTGGTGCCTTTACTGTGGGTCAGTCCAGATAATACATTTTTCCTCTTGGTCCATTGATCTTTCCAACTATAGAGTCAGGATTTCCATAAGGAAGGGCAGTATTTTAAAGTTGGATAATTCAGTTGTGAATATTTTAAGGCAGCAGAGAACAGACGGCCGAGTCCAGCACTGCTGAAACTGTCTTGGTTGTACTAGGTATGAATTTTTTCCTGCTGGGTTTTTGGGAACAACAGGCATAAAGAGACATGAGAAGCTTTGCCCCTCTCCCCAGAATTCAGTTGCATGTGCTTGGCACTTCATTGGATTCCTTGGATCTGATATCCTCTATGGAATAGTTTACCCAAGGGAAGCGGTGAAAGTTTTTCTGCCTTAGTCATCTAAAACTAGACCAGCAAAAGCACTTGGGGAAAATGTTGCAAGGAACAATTCTGTGTTGGCAGGCAACAGACTATATGACCTAAAAGATCTTTCCAGCTCTTACTTCTCTGATGTAGATGGTAAATAAAGAGGGGAACCTAGCCAAAGATACCGCCCTGTGCTCTTTTTATTTTTTTTTTTCCTCAAGAACTATGCAAGTAGAAATGCCCTCTTACAAAGTTTCACATTATCTTTTGCCAAGTAGGGAATAGTAGAGGGCAGTCATATCTGAACTGAAATTCCTAATTACTTTGGGCAGGAGAAATGTTGAGATGCTCCAATTTAAGCGTTTAGGATCGTTCTTGTTAAAATTGGCTCCGAAGCTTACTTTAAAGTGTAATGGTATTGAAGGACACAGCTGCTGGTCTGTTTGTCCAGATATTGCCCAGGGTTCATTTGGGAGAAGCCTTGGTAGCGGGGGGGCTTTATTCACCCATTCCATTTGGATCCAAATGTTGTGTGAACCAAACTTGTTTCTGGACTGGAGCAAATATCCTTCTTGTGCTGCTGCTTCCTACCCTGATGGTACCTCAATAGACTTCTCCAAATTGCAGCACCCTGTCACTGCTTTTTTTTTTTTTTTTTTTTTCATTTTGCCTCCCAGGACCCAATCGCAAGAGGCATCTATGAAACAACCATGAGCCAATGTAATCGATAATTACTTATGCTTTTCATTTTCTTTTGGGTGTTACCCTAGGCAATATCAAAATAATTCATGTTACTTTCTGTATAAAGCCAGGCTTGCTTTCAGGTTCTCTTTGTCTTAAAGCTTTTGACTCTTCCAGAGGAGGTATTGTTGTAATTCGCTTGAGTTCATAACCCCACACCAGGAGATTTTAAGGGAACAAAAACAAACCCACTCCTCCCTGCTGTTTCAACAACACATGAAAACTATTTTCTTCACATTAGAACATCCACACTGGTTTTGCTTCAATAACCTGAATGTTGAGACCTGTATGGAACAACTTGCCATGTGTTTTGGTTCATTGCATTAAATATGGTTTCTCAAAGGGGCCAAGGGATTAGATTTTTAGGGGTGTGCGAAGCGGGGCCCTATTCAATTCGGATATGGCCCAAACTGGGGACACTGATTCGGATCACTGTCCTGACTTTGATTTGGCCAAATCCAAAGATCTGATGCTGATTCAGGGAATCTGCGGTCTCAGACAGATGGCTATAAACGGTTTTTCCTACATACCTTGAGGTACTAGCACAGCTCGTGATCACTGAAGTACTTCCAGATCCACCAGGAGCGTGAGGGGGCCCTCCCAGCTTGGCCATCAGCTGCAGGGGGGGCCCTGGGTGCTGCCCCCCCAGACCCAGGAGGCACCAGTTGCTGGGTAGGGGGGGCAGGATGCTCCCCAGCGGACCAGTGCTTCTGGTCTCCTTCCGGGTCTACTGCCAAGCTTGCTGGGGAGCCCCCCATGTTCCTATGGGGTGCTCCATGCACCCCAGCATTGCAGCATTCATGAGCCCCTGCTACCTAGAGGTATGTAGAAAAAAACATTTAAGAGGTATCTATTCAGAAAGATTAAAGGGTCCTCTGATTTTGATTTGGAGATTTGGCTGCCGAATCTCTGCCGAAATGAATCGGGGACTGAAGCTTTGCACAGCCCTATAAGATTTGGCATCTCTTACGCTACTTTAAATTTCAAAAAATTCCATTGTCAATAGAGTTGTTTGGGATGTAGAGCCCAATCAGTTGAGATCTAACCAGTGCCCCCTGCTATATCAGTTAAACTTTTTCTCTTTTTTTTTTTTTTTAAAATACAGATTTGTATGTGCACAGCTGCCCAATGCAGTACTAGAGAGCATCAGTGTTATCGATACTCCAGGGATCCTTTCGGGGGAGAAGCAAAGAATTAGCAGAGGTAAGGCCAGGGGATGGCTTCTGTATGAGGGGCAAAACATAGTCTGACTGAATTCTGAGTTATTGCTCTTACCAATATAAGATTTTGATGAGTTTCATTTAACTCGTGACCTTATTGGTTGTGGGGGGGGGTGTTAACATTGGACTGACTTTAATCTCTTATGGGACTAGAAATGGTCCCAAACTGGGCTACCAGAAGTGACTGTGGTGAGTTCCTCAGAACAGTAGGAGAGCTTTTAATCAGAAAATGCTGATCTGTTGAGAATTGGCTGCTGTGCAGGAAGGTATGTTTTGGTGTCTATGAAACTTGGAAAAAATAGGTTAAGGCAAACACTTGCCTAAGGTGGCCTAGTCAGGGATGCCTTGAGCAGGGGTTGGAGTAGATGATGACCTCCTGAAGTCCCTTCTAGCCTCAGTTGTCTACGATTCTAAGTGTCTGTGGTTAAGCATCCCATGAGTTGATGGTCTTGAAAACTTTGGCTGTAACATTTCTGTTTGTTTGCTTGCCTGTTTTTAAAAAAAAAAAAAAAAAAAAAGCGGGGGCAGGGGTTTTGATATTATTGTCACTTACCTTCACTGGAGGTTATAAAGTAGTTCATGCCTGTACTGTGCTTTGAAGAGCATTATCCCAATGATGGGTGAAATGCAGATAGACTTCTGGTGACACTCAAGTTCAGATTTGAGAAATATATGTACTTCATGGCTGGCTGGCTTGCTTGCTTTTATTACCAGCACAGATCCTACTAGGTGTGATACTTCCCCCCCCCC